CGCCGAGCCCTCGCCTCCCGACTTTGTGTTAGGAGGCAGCGGGCGCCGCACTCGGCATCCTTCTTACCCTGTCCTTTCCCACCTCGCTGCATTCTCAAGACACAGCACAATAGACGCCTTGGAGGTGAAAAAGAGACACCCCCTGGCAGAGACCTCGAACGGTGCCCACCGCCCCCCCCAAGTAAGTTGGAGTGCATCGGAGTTGACGCTCTCCAAGGCTGCCCGCCGGGCTTTCACGTCTCTCCCAGCCCCCTTCACACGCCCCGGAAGGCAACAGATATTCGACTGATTTCCCTTAGGGTTAAGAGGAGAAACTGTACAAATTTGGAAGGCATTTTCTCTGTTGGTTTGTGGATAAGAATCGAATAATCTAAAATCAGTTTTCGGCATGTTTGGTTTTCTTCCTTGAAACTAGTTAGGAATTTTCCTGCCGACTTACTACCAAGAAAGATCAGAGGGAACTAGACAAAAGATACTGCTTGTAAGTTCACAAACGCCAAGCGCACTTGCAAATTTGGGGAAACCTTCCAGCTCTTAAGAAGGATACGACTGAAAGTTCCAAAGTTGGAGTTATTGCTCTTTGTTCATTAAGCAACTATTTATTGAACATCTACTATGTGCTGGGTACTGTTGTTGGCACTGAAAAACAGCAGTGAACAAAGCAAATAGATGATCTTCACCCAGAAGGCGTTCACACTCTGGTGGGGTAAACAAATGATAAACAAAAGGTAGAGAATGTCAACCGGTAAGTGCTATGGGATAGGAAATAAGTATGGGGAGACATCAGTTCTGTGTAAGGTGATCATAAAAGGGCTCACCTAAAAGATGAGGAGTAAAAACCTGAAGGAAGTGATAGAGCCATATGGATATTCACATGGGAAGAGCAGCCTCATCAAAAGGAACGGCAAATGCAGAGACCCACGGTCTGGAATATGCCTAGTGTATTCAAGCAACAGCAAAGATGCTTTTGTCACAGAGCAAAGTGAGCAAGGGAAAAGTAGTATGAGAGGGACTGATGGGTGGGGTGATTGTGTATTGGAGGGCCTTGTGTGCCACTTCAAAGACTTTGGCTTCTACTCTGAGATAGGAACTGGGCAGTTTTGAGCAGAAGAGTGATTGATCTGACTTTAACAGGGCTTCTTTGGCTGCTGTGAGGAGAAGAGACTGTGGAGTGCGAGGGCTGAAGCAGGGAGACTAGTTACAATGCTTTTGCAATCATTCTTTCATCCCAACAAGGTAAAGTGCTTTATAAATCAGTAAGTAGTAAGGTAAATTCCAGTCGACTATGTAGAGATGAAGGACCACAGTCATTCATTTATGTTTTTGTTCAGTGTCACTAGAGATTAAAAATATATAGAACTAGCTTGTGACACACTGACAATATGGTATCCAAAAAACATCCACCTGAGAGTATTTAGGTAGAAATGAATTCTTAGCCATTTAAGCAAAAATGATTTAGAGTGTAATACTGTTTTTGAAGGGTTAATTTCAGCACAACCTTTCATTTAGTGAAATAGTGTTTAGCCCTCTTCTGTTTGTGGTTGTGAGTTGCCAAAACCTTTAAGGAATAGACCTTTCTGAGATACAGTTATTCCCCTGATATTTTTGCTGTATAATTTTCCTATTATTAATTGCTTAGGGTGGAAGGAAGCAATAGTCATCAAGTTCATACCTTTGAACTGAATTATCAGTGCTAATAAAATGAAATTATAAGTGAGTGACTATTTTGTTGTGAGTCGAGAGCACAGATCTATCCTCATTTGGTTCCAACTGCTGCTTTTAAGTTCAGTGCTTTAGCTGTTGGAGTTGGCTCAGGTATTAGCTCAAGAATATTCTGAAAATTAAGTACCAGAATAAAAGACAAAGCACATTTTAAAATGAAAGATCAATATTCTCATTTTTATGGGGAAGATTTTATAAGTTCTTTTTGTAATAATTAGAACATTAATTTTAAAAATATTTTTGGATTATTTTATAATCAATGAAAGATACCAGAATATCTGAAGCACAGTTCTGCCAAACTTCACTGTCCTAGAACTTTTGTTATAATTTATGTCATCAGACTGCATGTAGGATGTGGTGTTTGCAGAACATAAACTTTTCTTTTTTTTTTTTTTAGTTGGAGTCTCACTCTGTCACCCATACTGGAGTGCAGTGGCACGCTCCT